AATTCTGCATTCTCTATGGGAGTTTCTGTTACTTCACTCGTGGTGCATATGTAAGTGTAACACAATCATGAATCATTTCTCCTTCATCCTCTAACACAACTTCAGTCATTGCAGACATCATACATGAGGATGGGTTCGTGACTGACGCACGCTGTAAAACAATGTTCAGGGCTGTGAGGGTTGTTAACCAATTTCCCCAACGAGAGGAGATGACAAAAGTGACTTTTGCTTGATTCATTAGTGCGGACACTGCATGAGGGCACATTACGTTTACAGTCTGTCTGTTAGCCAATTTTGTAGGAATTACTGTAATTACTGCACCTGTATCAAGCAAAAATCAATCTCTCTTGTATGCTACCTTTCACAAAAATAATTTTGTCATTGTGATGGATTACAGGGGAAATTAAGCATTCACAGCCTTAACAGTTAACACCTGAGCAAGCTGCTCCAACAGTTCGGTGAAGTGGGGAGGGGCTGCTTCAAAGTAGTAAGTAGACTGAGTAGGAGCTGAGTAAAGCTGTTCATTTCTCCTAATGTCTTCTTGCTTTTCCTACACTCTTTCATCCAGTGTCCAGGTTTACCACAGAAATGACAACTGCCCTCCCTCTTAGGACTTTTACGTCTCTGTCGGTTCTCTGTGTTGACCTGAAAGGATACTGCTGCAATCTTTACTCTGGCTTTAACATCAGAGTCTCTTTCCCATGTAGCTAACCTGTCCAAGTTGTTTTGCAAACTTCCAGTGGACCAGGTTAGATCTAAGAATGGCAAAGCAGATCTGTACTCTGATAAAAGGCCATCAAACCATGCTCGAACTAGTGGTCCTTTATGATCCAGTACCTTCTCTGGAGTGTCAGCTATTCCACTGTATGCTGCAGCTGACTGACAAAACCTTTCAGTGTATTCACTCACAGTTTCTTCTTTCCTTTGCACACAATTAGTGATTCTGGACCAGTCTATTTTGGGTCCCATGATATTCTTTAGAATTTTCAAAACACCTTCTCTCAGATCGCCTTTACTGGCATGTTGTAGTTCAGAAGTAACAGCAGACTCAAAACTGTTGAATTCAGATTCAGTTAGAATTTGTGACATCAGCTGTGTGACTTCTGCTAACGACATGTCGTAGAGACGCATTTTGCTGATCAATGCTCTTCTAAATTCAGAAAAATTTGTGCGTGCTGAGGGTAAGCTCTGGGAGAGTCTCTCTATATCTTTAGGTCCTAGTGCTATGGCAACAGCTTGTACTTGGACAACAGAAGAGTTGGGAGGAACACTTTCAATTCCCTCAAATCCCTGAGATCTTCTCGTAGCGCCACATACCTTCACTGAATCTACAGGCACATCAGTTACTGATTGGATGGCTACATCTGTTTCAAAGAAAGCTTGTAAGTCAGGATAATTGTTATCAGGCTGACTAACTTCTTCCACATCAGTTTTTTCTGCAGCTTTGTTGTGGTTCATTTTCTTAGTCAAAGAGGATACTCTAGCACGGAGCTCTTTGTTCTGTTCCTCTAGCTTTAAGTTACGCTGAGACTGTTGTGTAGCTAGCGCTAAACCAAATTCTCTGTGGCAGCAGATAATGCCTTTCACATTGTTCTTGCGTATACATACTCCTAGTACCTTTTTACACTCATCTACAGACCAAGTCTTGTCAGGATGGATCTCATATTTCTGAGTTAGTTCTTGTCTAACTTTCTCAGTGACTATTAGGTTCATTTGCACTCCTAACAGTGATTTGAATTCGCTATCCGACCACCTTTTTCAGTTGTGGGGATCAGTCTAGCATTCTTTCTAAACATTTTGTGAGTTTCTTTGTTACCACACAAACAAAACACTAAAACTTCTCTGATCAACAGAGGGTACGCTTGTTAACACATCAACTATTGTTAAGCTTCCTTGGCAAAGCAAAGCAAATAACAAATTTACTAGCACTTTATGCTAAACTTCCCTGCCAAAACTGACGGTGACCAATTCTTCTCTGCCGAACCAGAGGATAACAAATATTAACACGTAATGTTAATCTTCCCTGTCTTAACAGAGGATAACTAATTCTTCCCTGCCGAAACAGAGGATAACCTTCATCTCTAAAATAAATATTTTAGAGGATAACTTAGTTAACCAAACCCTACAGCTGTCTGTTAACTCTTCTCTGACGGCGCAGAGGATAACACATTTGTACTGGTCTTAAAGGTTCTTTTGGATAGAGTGGAACTCACCAACCCTTGGTTGTTCAGAAAGATTCAGTCTGGAACTTCTGGAACAGATCTTTGTTGAGCTTGAAGTTTCAATCTGGATTCAGGTGAGGAGCTCTATCCATCTTTATTGTTATTATTGTTTATATGCTTTACATACAGAACATAAATTATCTCATCAAAAGAAGCATCTTAATTGAAGATGGGAATCCTGCTCGATACCGTCTGCAAACAAGGAGAGACAATTTGGATCAATTTGAACCATATAGAAAAATGACATTTGGAGAGAGACAAAAACAAACCCCATAAAACCATCACTGTTTATGGGTTTTATCTACAAGAGAGTTCAATCGATTTAACAGTCATCGACACTCCAGGATATGGAGACACTCATGGAATCGAATCGCTATTGAAGCAACATTTTTTCAGGTTTATTTGACAGGGAAAATGTACATCAATAATACATAAATATACAATGTGCCAGAATTAGCCAGAAGGCTATTTTGCATCCGCAGCTACGGACATGTCAACTAAGGCTGCGAAGATGCTTATGCATTCATAGATATTTTCACGTATTACCTATTGTTTGACAACCTGGTCACAAGCAAGTAACACTTCTCTCAAACCAATACTCTTTATATAATGTTTTTATGTTTATATAATGTTGTTCAGTCTTTATTTGGAAGAGATATTTCTGAAAACATTGTCTTACTCTTCACACACTCTGATGGAATGTGTCGTAAATGCCCTGACGGCTGTTAAAGAGGCTGAAATCAAGTGTGTGTCAAAAATCGTCCTCAATACGGATTCACTGCTCACACTCCTGCATATTTCTGATAGAGAAGCTGAGAGAAATCAATGAGCTTGAAAAGTCCAAACACTGAAAAACATCAAGAAGAGAGCAAACGGGAAACAATAGAGCTCTGGCCTATACAAAAGATTTTCTAAAAACTTTTGACATGATGAGAATGAAAGTGATTGGAGAGAGGAACTGGATCAGGACAGGACTGACACTGAAATTCAGCCTGAAGGGTTTTCATTTTTTTAGTGAACGGTTCCTTTAGGAATAAAGTGTGTTAGCCAAGTGATAAGATCATAGAAAATTCCAAATGAGATCCTAAAATTGGGTCCACTGTCTAAGATTTTTCTGTCATCACTCTTGCCCGTATTTCTCTCATTTATAAGTTGCTTTGGATAAACAGCATCTGCTAAATTAACAAATGCAAAATATTATTTGACAAAATATGAACTGTTTTTATAGTAAGACACTGATAATATTTTTTTATACAAATAGCCAGAATATAAATATTTACTGGAGAAAAGTGACAAGCACTAAGGGGTTGTTTAGGTTCTGTTTGGAATCGTGTTATAAAACAGTGTCACCTAGAGCCCATACAAGAAAATGCTGTGAAACAAAGTGACACATTTGTTATGACATTAACAGAGCTCTGCTTTATTATACACCTGGACCGGTTCAGCATCTATGACATTTTTATACATTCTGTATATTGCTTCATTAGTTCTGTTTGAAATCATGAGAGAGAATACAGCATTTCTTTATACATTTAAAATGACCGATGTGGCAACATTGTTTCAAAATGACAATTATATGAATAAAAGAATCTGAAATATGAACAGAAACAGACCTGTGTGTTATAATGATAACAGAAGAAGAGAGCTGAACGACATTCATGCTGCTTCATTCCCAATTAAACACAAATAGAATATCATGCAAGATACAAATAATATTTAGTAATTAGCTTGCTTCTATTATACGTGGAGCTCATTTATTGAGTTTGACAGTACTCGGCATCCCAAACACATTCCTGGAGCCTCCTCAGCACTAGTTTGAACGGTTGAGGCTAGAAAGGATACAGCTGTGCCACTGGGCATACACACATCAATATTGCGTATTTTTTTGTCACAACACTATATTTGCATTATTGTAAGGGTTAGGTTTAGGGTTGGGGTAGGTGTAGACGTTAATAAAAATAAAAATAAAAACAATCTAATCGGAAGAAAATTTTATTTCTTGTGACTTTCCAGCTGTAGCTGTATCCCTTCTAGCCACAACCACTTTGAACATCTTTGTCTGACACCAATTTCAGAGTCTCTGCTAATGAACTGATGAGTTGAATGAAGTGTGTTTGATTAAGGAGACATGCAAAATGTGCCGTGCTGGGAACTCCAGGAACATGGTTGGGAACTAATGATGCAAACAATAAAATACATTTGCTAATGCACTACGCATTATATTAAAGTATTTTGAGGTCATTTAATTGATAATCTGCCCCTGTAATCAATGTATGCACATATTTTTGTTTTGTTTTGTGTCATTGATGTATGTTCCATATGCAAAAGCTGCAATGAATTATGCGTACGTTTTTGAAGTTTTGCAAAAATACAGATAGAGTAACATTATTCCAGTGAGCTGTGTTCTAGATGGTTGCTAATCAGTTGCTAGGCTTTTCTGGGTGAGTGTTAGGGTGTTGCTTGTTGCTTACAGACTTCGTTCATTAATTTCATAATATAAATTCAAATCTTACTTTGAATGCAGCTCAGTTTTTTGAAGGGGTCAAGTTATCTTTTTTTTTTTCATGGAAATGCTTCCCAGCTAGATCTGCACCAAACCAGCATAAATAAGTCAAGACCAGCATGCTGGCCTAATCTAGATTGCATATCAAATTTGAAAATAGGACTCTGAAAATGGTGGAAATACTTCTTTCAAAAACATGTCCTTCACGTGGCTTATCATTGTTTGCAACTGCAATAATAGTTTATTAATCTACCTTTTGTTTTTTGTCAGTTGCTTTGGATAAAAATAGCTTTATGGATTTTCTTTATAAAAAATACAACACAAATTTACAGCAGCATAATGAAAACACTTATTAAATAAGAGACTGTTGGAAATATATTGTGAAGCAACAAGTAACCGGAATATTGATACTTAAGGTAAAATGATGTGCTTGTGAACAGGCCACTGAGAGGCTGTTTAGGAGCTGGAATTGCATTATTAAGAACTGCCACCTAGAGCACATATACGAAAGAGGCCTAGACTTTTCAATTAATGTTACCTATAATATGGTTCTTTGAAATCATGCCAAAATTGGTAGTATAACTGAGAATAAACAGAGACACTATGATATAATTTCACTTGCATCTGACTTAATTTAACTAGTAGTTTTGATTTTGTTGTAGCATTTTATGTTTGTGTTCCTTCATCTGCAAAATACAGCAAAGTGCCCTGCAGGAAGCAACTCATTTCTCACAACTAAAGCTACAATAAAATGTAGAATCAATACAAACAATTAACTATCGCATTAACTATCAACAGTGCTAAAGTAAAATAAAGTCCTTTCACGTCACCATTTCACATGTCGTTGATCTAACACAGTGAATCTCAACCTTTTGGCGTACCGGACCCCAGTCCAATTCAGAACCATCCTCAAGGACCCCCAGAACAAAATGTACTCATCTATGTATCATTTGTGTCTTTGTGAGGACCAAATACAGTCAAGTACAGTCAGAAATACAGTCAGTCAAGTTAGCTGACTTGTCCAGTATTTGGCCATATCATCAGCTATATTGGATTTTTCTTTGTCAAAATATACAACATTTATACAAAAATTCATAATTTATACGGACCCCCTGGCCTTACGTCAAGGACCACTAGGGGTCCACGGACCCCTGGTTGAGAAACACTGACCTAACAGTCTTCACCAGCTGTAGGCAACTCTTTCCTGCAGAGTTTAGCTCCAGCCTAAATCAAACACACCTGAACAAGTTAATGAAAGAAGGAGGAGGATTAGCATCATGCCACGGTTTTTATAAGTCTTCTTTGTGACATCCACCAGCGTATCAAAGATGTGTTCAAAGCTCATGCATTCCCTCTGCTGGTTGGTTTGAGTCTTTGTATAAAATACAGATATTGACACCAAAATAACAAGTATCCAATAACAAGTTATTTTTTATTGAGATTGTATTTAGATGCACAGTTTCAGGAATATATCTATGCAGACAGGTTGAATTCGGAATAGCATGCTAGCATACCTTCTCTTGCCATTTGTTCCATATCCTTTATATGGCTTTTTATTCTATAACATTTTCTATTAACTATTAATGTTAGGAGTGTATTCAGCCTTTTTCGTGGAAATCAATTTGTATTTACCAGATGCTTTTGTAACATGAAGCGACATACAGCTGGAGCAAATTTGATGCCTCACAAAACATTGTGTTACTTCAGGAGTATGATGAGCATAGACTAGTGTTTGTGCCATAGAGCTCACTACGGCAAAACCAGAAGACTGTGGGTTCTTTAGAAATGCACTGTGGAATTTTAAGATAGTGGTTTGCTATTAACGAGTAAATATCCTTACTTGAAGAGACATGTTAGAAACAGTGTAATAGGAACAGCATAGCATATAATTTTTACATCACATTTAGTACTGAATAATTATAAGGGTTACATTGAGTAATACTGATTAGCATGTTAATTCTCTGCTACCATAATGGATTATGTGTAGATGCTGAATGAGCTAAACCGTAGCGCCAGTTGATAATAAAAACATAATTGAACAATATTTCAGTATAGGGAGCAAAATGCACAAAGACAACCTATTACCATTACGCAGAAGAAGAGCAGAAAAGGGCAGCTAGCAACAACAACAACAGGAAGAGCTAACATGTTTGTAGTACTAACATATTACTTAGAAGCCTTCAGGAGTATAAAGTATATGGGTTACATACAAAATCCAAGTGTATTGAATTTGAATCTTCAAATAGAATTACTTTTTTTTTTACTATTTTTCTAAATCATTTTGAGTTTGTTGTTGTTGAGTTTATTGTGTAAGTCTGTCAAGTTGACACAACTAATTTGTGTAGCAATTTCTAATACTGTGTGTATGTGTGAGTCACTTTTATCATTGTCAAATGTTGGCTATAACCTGTACTATGTTGCACATGGAATGCGTCTTGATTCAGATGATGATACACTTTTGGTCATTTAATATTCAACTTGAAATGCTATTATTGTTGATTTTAGTCCTGAAAACTTACGTTGGAATCACCACGCCTCAGTCTTGCATCAGCAGAACGCACAATCTGATCAAATGCCTTGAGAATCAAAACATCAACATTATCGTTTGTGTTAATCTCATTATGATAGTTCTTCACTGGGAAGATGTGGCTCACTGGAACACCCATTTTGGCACTGCACAACTCCATCTGGACAGAAACACAATGCAAAATTGTTTGTAAAACTACAGAAAACAACATACAACATGTATAGATGATTAAATGACCAACCCTCTCTTTGATGATATGGCTTCTGTAGACCATCTTTAGATCATTTTTGACCAGATAACTTGCTTCATCCACTTTAGACATGACAATCACTTGAGGAATCCCTACAATGAGAAAACTGAAAGTGTTTTAATCCAAATGATACAAATCTACATTTTTTTATATATTCCTGCATTTTCCATTTCTCTCATTTTGTCCAAAACAAAGGCAAATAATATTGCATTTTTATTTTTATTGGTTCACTTAAAGCACCTTTATCTATTGTTGAAATGTATTTCAAATATGCACATATGTTAAACTAGTTTCCATGTGGAATGTAGGAACTTTTATATATTACAGTGTTGTGCATAAGAAAGATAAAAATCATAGAAAGTTTTACCTTTATCATTGATGGTCTGGCGGATCTTCCTCAGTTTCTCTGTAATTATCTTATCATCTGCAGCGAATTGGATTGTACTTGCATCTATGATGTAAACTAGGCAGAATACCTGATCAGACAGTGAAGGGTTTTGATTGTAATGTTCACCGTCGCTTGTGGGTGATTTCTCCTTGAACTAGGTTTATGAAATAAAAGCAAAATATAAAAAATGTGAGAGATATTGTACACATTCAAATGTTAATTTTAAATGAAATAAATGTAGTTAATGGGATAGTTCACCCAAAAATAAATGTTGTCATCATTTATTCACGCTCAAGTTGTTCCAAATAGAGGTCTGCGTGGGACTGTTTTTTATATTCCGCACCCACCTGCTCCTGCTATATATTCACTCTTTGTTCACCCGCTGTCCCCTTAGAATAATTTTCGTCTCGACCCGATCGTTCCCGCTAAATTTAGATCTCGTTTCCAGAATCTCACGTTTAAATTTCCACTATTGGAAGAAAGAGAGATGGGCTGACAAATAACAGTGTAGTCTGCACAAAATTGTAAGTTATTTTATTCGTCTTGTCAAGAGTCTTGAATTTATTAACTTTGACTTGAATTTATATGAATTATCTTAAGACACAAAATTAGTTTAATATTTTATGCAACACAGTAGGAAAAAAAGTGTCAGAGCAAATACAAATGTACAAAAATTGCATTCCTTTTTTTAATTTGTCTTGTCAGGATACAATTCGTTTAACATCGACAGCACAATAAAAGCACAATAAAAATAAAAATCTAGGTTGTACAAAAATAGCCTATTAGCTATTTTTATTCGTCTTGTCAAAATACTAAATTCATTTGACATTTTTCTGTTAACACAGTAGGAAAAGTGTTGCAGAGAAAAATAAATAAATAGGACATCTTTCATTTAAAATGATAGGCTAAGCAAAATATAAACACAACCGAGTTGAACTTCCTTCAGGGACAGCGCATCCACACTTTGCTCCATCCTTATTCTGCTCTGTTCTGTCTGAGGGCCGTATATTTACCACAGGTACAGCCTGCTCTGAGCATCGTTATGCACATGCTGCGCACAGACCCTGCAAATAAAACGTGTGACGTTTAAAGCATGCTCGCAGCGCGTGCACAACAGTCCTGAGCGCAAGCTGTACCGGTGGTCAATAAGAATAAAGTGCAGATATGCTGTTCTGAATGAACGTCGGGAACGGGATATTGTTAGATCGCCCGCTCCCGTTCAAATTACACCAGAGTTACCAACCGCTACGCGTTTTATTCGGGAATTTAATCCTGCAGTGCAAAAAATCCGGTCGGGAGAGCCGCGGGAAAGCAGACCTCTAGTTCCAAACCTGTATGAGTTTCTTTCTTCTGTTAAATACAATAGGAAATATTTTGAAGAATGTGTAACACGTTTTTCTCATTCTAGTCAATGCAACCAGCAACTGTTTGGTTACCAGCATTCTTCAAAATATCTTCTTTTGTGAATGTTCATTTTTGGGTGAATGACCCCTTTAACTTTTCATCGAATGTCTTACTTTATATCCCTTCTTCACATGGCCAAATATGTCTGAAATATGGCTGAAAATGTCTTCTATTTGACACTCAGATATTTTTTCAGGTTCTAAACCTTTTATGTCACATAATTCAAAAGGCAAATCTGCATCTTTACTTCTGATGCGGTATGCTCTCAGCTGTAAACAAAGACAGAGAAAAATTGCAAGATATATTTTTAAATATCACACAATGCTTATGATTTTAAACAAATGTCTGGTTTGGTTGATGAGTTGTCTATATTTCCTTAAATCATATTCCTACAGTCTTAGCAGGTACCGTGTGTGCAATATAGATGTCAAATAATGCTTACTTTTTTTGTGGAACTGTGACTGGCGGCTGATCCCAAATCTTCAGCTATTGCTTCATTAACTATTTCTCCTTGAAAGACACTAAGGACAGAGTTAATAAAGCTGGACTTCCCTGCTCCAATTTGTCCAGCCACCAGGATCTTCATGTTTTTCACATCTGGATTACTCAGAGTAAACTTTTCTAGACGTCTTTTCAGCATTTCCTTCTCTCTACAAAAGACAAGAGACAAAATTATCTGCACACTAAATAAATAAAAATAATATACTATATGATAGACTATATGAAAAAAAAAAAAAGCTGGCTCCTTCTGTTTGAGAATTCTTATTTAGGGGTTATTTATTCAGTCAATATGTAATATTTTAGTCAATTTACAGAATTTTTCTAAATTATTATTTTTTAAATCTCCATTTTAAATACATTTATAGTTTGATATTTTGAAACCAGTTATACTTCATTTTATATTTCCAGCCAAAAGGGAACAAAAGCCTGCACACAATGTCCTTCAATGTAAAAAAAAAAAAAAAAACTTAAACAACAAACATTTATTTAGAGGTCAGATATTTCAAAACAAATATGTATTAGACAATGTATATTTTACAGTAGGCCTAAATATAATTTTAGCTATTTGGGCTTTCTACAAATACAACATTAACCATATCTTTGAACAGTCTACTATCTATGATAAGATAGCCCACACACTACATAGTCCACATAACCTTTGTATATGTAGCTTACCTCCAGTCAAATGTCCTCCACGCTTCATCCAGTTCAGTGAAGAAAAAAACAACAACATATAGATTAAATAAACAATTCAGTTATTTAACAATAAATTGGTATTATCTCAATCTCTGAGTCTCAGAATGTATCTATCCCATCTAACACAGATCGTTCTCAGAACTTTTGCTAACATTCTGGCATTCTGTTCAATGTTTTTGGTTTTAATAATGTTTTAAAAACGTTAACGCAAAAACATATTTTGGTGTTAAAGGGGTCATATGATGCGATTTAAATTTTTTAAGCGTTACAAGCTCTTGGTGCATAAAGAAGGTCTGTAAAGTTACAAAGACTAAAGTCTCAAATCCAAAGAGATATTCTTTATAAAAGTTAAGAGTCAACCACACCCTCCTAAAACGGCTCGTTCTAACACGCCCCCACATATCTATGTCACGATGTGGGAAGATTTACATAACGCCACCCAAATGTTCACGCAAAAAAAGAAGGCATAAATTTATTCTAGCTGTAGTATTGTTGTTGCCGCCGCCGCCATGTCGTGAAGATGCTGTGTGTTTCGTTGTGAAAGCGAAACTACTTTGTTTGGTCTTTCAAAAGAGGACACGACTAGAAATCAGTGGTTAAGTTGTATTTACAACACTGTTCCAGAACACTTCAACCCAAATATTCAGATGTGTCCAGCGCATTTTATGGAGGACTGTTTCCTCCATAAGGTTACGATAGTAACCGGAGACGTTCCCTCTCGAGCTTTCACGAGTCATCACGGAGACATTTCTCCGTTATGGGAACGATATTCAATCCTTCCGTGAGAGAGGCTTACGAGCAGCCTGTACAAGTCACATACTCAGCGAAGATAGAACACACAATTCCCACAACCAATAGCGATGCTTGCTAGGCGGGCTCGCAGCCGATAGGTGGAGACAAGCCAATGAGCGTCTAAGGCCCAGGTATACGAAATTTGCATATCTGGTCAGTGATAACGTATGCTGCGCTGAGAAACAGGGCAGAAGCAACAACAGCCACATTATTGTGAGGGGGGGCTGCACAGAGATAACGGTGTTAAGCAGCAGTATAACACATAAGATGATGATGGTACACCAATCGAATTAGACATTGAATAGCAGGAGCTGCACTGAGTGCAGGGCAGACAACAGTAACAATAGCATATAGGGCTGCGCAGAGTAGTTACTGTGCGAGGCAGCAAACACGCATGTATAGAGGTAGCATAAACGTGAATCAGTCTATCACTCTATCACACCGAGTAACCAGCGCGATATTCCCGGAACAGTTTTCCACGCGCTCAAGGACTGACATAGCGGTTTTAGCCTTTTTCCTTGGTCGTTGGATGCGCCGGTGAGTGCTGCGCAGCTATAACATGTGTGAGCAGCGGCTCTGCACCGCTCTGAGGTGGGGCAAGCAGCGCTACATTGACTGAGCGAGGAGGAAAGAGCTCTTTTGTGCACATGTATGCATTTTTTAATGATCCCACACACACATCAAACACAATTTTGAGACAGCTTTGGGGCTGGGCCAATTGTGTAGGCTACTCTTCCCTCCTCTCCAGGCTGTCAGGACGACGGCTTGGCAGCTGACGGTGGGCGGGAGCCTCTTCCCGGGTCCCTTTACTCTTTTCTCCGCACATCCGGGTCTTGGCTGCAGTGGTCGTGGGCCTGGTGTCCCTGCACTGCGATGAGCCGTGCGCCAAAGAAAACCTCGATCTCGCGTCATAACAAGACTCATTGCTTGCATGACGCGCATTTTAACCGGTGTGGGCGGCGGCATCTGCGCCTGTCACTACAGACTGTGAATGGCTATACGACCTAGTTAAGCACCACTTCGTAGGGGCGTGAATAACTGACGTAATAGTTCAGCGAAATCTGGAAGGCTGATAAGACGCGCGCCTGGGCATCAGGTGGCTCCTCGCCTTTGCACGCTTTTCCAAGCAGGGGCATCAGGTGACTCCTTGCCTTCGTGCGCTTTTCCAAGCAGGGGCATCAGGTGACTCCTTGCCTTCGTGCGCTTTTCCAAGCAGGGGCATCAGGTGACTCCTTGCCTTTGCACGCTTTTCCAAGCAGGGGCATCAGGTGGCTCCTCGTCTTTGCACGCTTTTCCAAGCAGGGGCATCAGGTGACTCCTTGCCTTCGTGCGCTTTTCCAAGCAGGGGCATCAGGTGACTCCTTGCCTTCGTGCGCTTTTCCAAGCAGGGGCATCAGGTGAGTTGTCGCCGCACTGATGAGGGGCTGGTATCGTGTGAATGAGTGAGGAGCCAGTGATTTTGCTTTGCACACGGCAGAACAGCGCTCCCAGGCGGGGAGCTGCACACTTTTTAGACAGTGGGTCGTGCGGTATCTGCGGCGACATGAGAACCCTTAGCTCCAGTATCTACACTCGGCTCTCCGCTCCGCCATGGAAGGGGGATGTGAGAAGCCGGGCTGATGTCCTGCAGTTTCTATGGGTGAGAGGAATGCGGACATTTTGTCGGCATGAGTCCTTATGGTCCACCACTGATAGAGGGCAGACGGACTCATCTGGCATCTGAAGAAAAATGTCATACTCACCTGAACGCTGCAGAGGAGCGGCAATCCAGGCACCGCCCTCTGATGAGCGAACCTTAAGTGAGCTGTAATAGTTTATAAGCCATATTCTTAGGTTATTCAGCAAAGTGAAGGAGAAGATTCTGACATAATTGTCGCGTGCACCGCATTTTATACTGCCTCTCGAGCGCGTCAGTATTTGCATGCGATTTGCATACTTCGCGACAATTGGCCAGTCATTTGGACTGGCGTGAGCCAATAGGACTTCAGGAAAGGTTGGAAGGGAAGGAGTTCCCATAACGGAGAAATGTCTCTGTGATGTCTCATGAAAGCTCGAGAGGGAACGTTAGGATCCCGCTCTAGATTACTCGCGGAATGTTTTTCGAGTCACTCGCGCGAATAAAAACAGCGCGATCAACCATGGTGAAGATAACTAAAATCGCTGTTTTGTACCTGTTATCAAAAAGTCCCAAATACAATAGAAAGCCAAATGCCGAGGGGTCTGGGTTCACAGCACCATCCAGAGGAGCATGAGTAAAGTTAGGATCCTGTATTAATGTGTGTGTTACATTTTACTACTGTACATAGTCACTGTTATTACTATTATTTTTATTATTGATAGCAGCATCTCTGTAGCCATGCTAATAAAATACTGAAATAATGCTCTCTTCTATTGTCTGATTCAACTGGACCTGTCAAGAACATCTTCACTGATTGGCTTGCTCGAGACCGCGTCATGCGAATTTTCCACTTGAGTTGAAATTTGTGAACTTGCGCGAAAGACGCGATTGAGGCGAATATCGTGCGTTCCGCGTCATTCGCGTCGCCCGGCGCGAATTCGCCTCTATTCGCGTCTTTGCGTTGCTCTCTACTCGCGCGAATAATTACATTCGCGTCTGGTGTGAACACACTCGCTGCGTCCGAAATCGCATACTGCTTAGTAGGTACTACATTTAAATTTGAACGTACTACTCGACCGTTAAAACAGTACGTTCTATATAGTATGAATGCGAGTAGTTTTCGAATATGACGCCTCCTCTCGCGTGGCCTCATGGGATAGTAAAGTGTCCATCCTATGCATGCTATGGAATTCGGGCGGAAGTAGTAGGTCATCCGGGTACTTCTCGCCTACTGTTTTTCGAATACTATGAATTCGGACATACTACTCGCCTCGCATACTGTTTTTCGCCTGCTATATAGTATGGAAGTATGCGATTTCGGACGCAGCGACTGTTAGTCCGCTAGACCGAAAGTGCACATGAAGTGTTCCATTTGGGACAGGGCCTTTGTCACTTTGTTTTTCAGAAGGGTGCTTGGTTCGAGCGCCCCCTGAATGTTGAGACAGAACGAGTTAAATAGGTGGTACTGCACATTTAATCGCCGACGCCCTTTCGGTCTCCCCTGCCCCTCCGAAGGTCTGTGTATGCCACTGCAGTATACCACAACAGCCACAACAGCGCAATTGAGCGCTGTTGTTTGCTTCAATCACAGATTAGATTTGTGTATGTTACATACATTAAATAGATCATGTATGTGAGTGTAATTATCATTACAATACTTTATTTATTTGCTATTATTTTATTTGCTTATTTCTGTTTCAGAACCACGCCCATGCTTGCAATGTAACACTCTTATTTGGACATTGTATGGCCATACTGCTAAAGTTCAGTTAAATACCGCAGGTTCAGTCTGTATTCTAATCACAGACACCTGGGAGTGACTACAGGATCCACGCAGACTCAATCAAGTCATTCAAATAGACTTTTACATGCAGTCGTTTAATTCTGAATATCGTAAGTTAATTTTGTTGGACTGATGCATTTTTTGAATTTATGCATTTGAATAGATCACATTTGATTAAATAGAAAAGTAAATTAAGTTAAAAGATGCATCAGTTATCAGAGTCAGAGACAATCCCATTATTCTATGCAGTACTTACCTGGTATTGAATCACTTCCTCCCATTTGTAATGTTGTGTCGTTTGAACAGAGTAATGTGAAGAATCACAGAACTATATTTACTGTCTTGTGCTCCTGAAGGATGTGCAGGTGTGATGTGATGGCAGCTCTGGTCAGAGGGTATATTTATACATGCAGGTCTAACTTTCAGTTTCACTTTAAATAACAGATTGGAAAGGAAAGGAAGCTCTCATGATTATAATGGGTGCAGGTCAGCATTTTCTCTGAATAATTACATTTCCCAAAACAACTGTTTTGATAGAAAACTTGGAATATAGCATTATGGAGTTATACCTTCATGTGTTTTTTCTTTGCAGATCTATTAGATTCATTGGTTCAAGTGTTTACAATGTTTTTGTGTTCTGTGATGGCAGCTCATATCTGAGGCTATATTTATCTATATTCCCTGTAGTAACATTATTTTCCATAGTTACCTTAAAAAATGAAAACACAGAACTAAACATGCAGATTATTATGACCAATAATATGTTATATATTTTCTAAATAAATCTTGCCTATAAATGTCTTGGTCATATTTCAATTCAAAATCAAAAGAAAAAATATTATTGGCATTTTACACATACATGCATAGCATATTATTTGCATAAGTTGATATATGTCACTAAAATACTTGTATAACATGTCTGATTGACAGAGCCAAGGTAATAAAAAATAACAAGAACAAAATTGAAATTATACAAATAAAAGGATTCTTTATTATGGTAATTTTGAAATGGGACAAGTTAAAAAGAAATTAGGACTGTATGGAGAAAGTATGGTAATTGTATGGAGAAATTATATGAAAGTGAGAAGTAAAAAATTATTTATAAAAAATTACTGTTTTTGAATCATTCACCAAATAAGCATTTCTTCCTTAAAGCCCTGTGAAATCAAATAATGCAATGAATCTCAATGAATTACTGAGTGCAGCAAGAAAACACTTGGAATTAAGCTGATTTAATCCTTAAAAAATTATCTCCATGTTTTTTTTTTTTGTTGTTTTTTTTGTCGCACTGTATTTTAAAATGTTTAAAACCAAGTAATGATTCATAAAAAAGACTCAATGTGAAATAAATCTCATCTCATCTCTCTCCCTCTCTCTGCTGTTTCGATCATGGATGGTTTTCCTATAAAGCACATGACTTTCAGAAAATGGGTGCTGGCTACAGTATAAATATCTAATGATCCATTCTTCAAGTTTTTCTGGACAGCTGAAGAAAGACGGACTGTATAACTAGATCTATTTTACTGAATTATGATCATAAACTGAATTATGTCTGATCACTGGACTTTATTAATGCATTTTTAAAGACTAGATTAAGGACATAATATTTTATACACATTGCATAAGCAATATGTGTATTGAATGCTAACACTATTGCTCTTCACATAGACTTTAAATTTAATAATAAATTTAGCAATAAGTTGGAGAGAGAGAGAGAGAGAGAGAGGACCGCATTAACATTCACTGACATCAAGTTTCAGATTTATTCTAGTTGTTTTGAAATGAATTATTTCCCAACAGTTGACCTATTTGAATTAACAGTATTAAATAAAATGGGGTAGAGGTGGGGGAAGAGGTTGATGGGGTTGGTATAAAATAATGTTTTAAATAAAATAAAGTTCAGTGTCTTGCTCAAGGGGAGCTCAGTCGTGGTTGCTGAAGGTGGATGAGAGAGCTGTTCATTCACTCCCCCCATCTACATTTCCTGCGTGTACTGAGACTCGAACCTGCGACCTTCGAGAAGTCCAACTCTAAACATTAGGCCACATAATTTAATTAAAGTTCCGCAGGTAATCGAGCAGGGTGGGTCACTGCTTCTTCTCATATTCCTAATGGACACACAAAAACAGAAAGGGAGAAACACAGAATCTTGGAGAGCGGGTCGGATGCTGATTCATGATGCTGAGAGGATGGAGCTCGGTCTGTGTCTCGTGATTTATGAAGGACCCGACTGCAGCCTGCAGAGAGGGGCGGGGCTATCCATGGGTGCCATTCTGTGTGCCAATGAGAGTAGAAAAGGGGCGGGGCGACATGTGTAGCTCCTCCCTCTGCAGACTGCTGTCAGATCCTTCTAGAATCGCGACACACAGACCAAGCTCCCACTCAAACACTGCTGCTTTTTTTTCTTACCGGTTTTATGGGTTTTCTCCCATTGTGGAATGCTAATTTGCTTATTTAATTATTATAAAGTAATATATTGTGTTATAAATTATAAGAGAAAAGGACCAAAACCCGGCATTGACTTCATGGATAAATTCTCAAGGATAACATACTTTGCAAGAACATTTTTTATGCAATATATTTTATCAATAAAAACAAAGTAACACAAAATAATCTTAAGCAACATTATACACAAAGTGATAAAGTAGTCTGTTCCATACACATACAATTACTCCATGTAACATTTACTGTCAAAAATGGAAATAAAATGTTGAATTGTATTTGGAAACACTAAGGTCCGTGTGAGAAATTACAAGTGCACAATGCACATACTAAATATTGCAAATAAATAAAAGTGAGACTAACTATGCACAAGTTATTCAGGAAAAAAAGCCTTTGTATACTCTTTTATAGTCTTTGGATTCCTCTTTTGTAATGCACATTATAAAATGAACATCAGAGCCCTCTGAAAGTTGAAAAACAAAACTCTAAACTAAGGTCTTTTCATGTAATTTCTCTAGTCTATTTGATAAACTATTTTTAACATAATTTTTATTGGCTTTCTCTGACTTCAAAACCTTCAAACTTCAAGCTTTGCAATGCCATTTTTAAACTTTCAGACCTGGTTTTGAAAAGCCAACATCAAAGTTTGTCATCAAACTTTACTCATCTAGTTTAATTTGTATTTTATTTAGCAACACATTTGCTTTGTCAGCTAGACTCCTCATTCATGCACCCAGTCGTGACAGAAACCCAACTGTCTTCAAAAGGGTAGGACTATGTTATTATGCACTGTAAACTGTGACTCTGTATTTACTTGTTTTGTTTATTTGACATTTAGACAACCCATTCAGTTATGATTTAAATGGTAAATTATGCTTCATTTAGTTTAACAAAACAAAAATAGATATAGTAAAAATCTACAGATAAAAGTGTCAATTTATGAAAGTCTGTAAGTAAAGTAGCTTGGGCTGAATTGGCAAGTCTCCTTAAAGGTGCCATAGAATGCATTGATACAATATTTTAACTTGTTCTCTGATTTCTACATTGAAGGTATGTGGCTTAGGTAAGGGCAAACAATCTCCAGAAACGGTTTTACATGTCCATTTACAACCCTAGGATTTGTCCCTAGAATGAAATGCTCTGTTTTTACCTTATTTGGAAGGGTCATGAATAATAAAGTTGAGCTCTGCTCTGATTGGCTGTTTCACAGTGCGGCTCATTTCAGTAGCTCACACAGCAGGAAGGAAACACAGGTAAAATATATATTTCAATACTGCCTCTCGCAGTTATATCGTTGGGTAATTATACTGTATATAAAATGCGGGCATCAGGGAGCCGCTATTAATATGCGGGGCATTGAAACTGCTTTTGAATGCATGATCGCTTATACTTTAGTGATGTGACGCGCCTCAGAGCCATGAACAAGAATCTCATCAAATTTTATGAGATTGCTAGATAACATCACTGTGGAAAGTAATTTCAGCATGTTTGCATGATATCAAAATTTGGCTTTTGGCACAACACCAGCCACTGGTATCTTGGTATCTCGCCCAGATTCGCATTGCATTAGTAAAATATACATTAAATATAAATATAACTGACTTTCTTTCTTTCTCATGGAATGTAAAATCTCACATTTGATGATTTGTACGTCATTTACACATGACCATATTTACTGTTGTTGTGTTTTCTGTGCTTTACATTAAGAAAAGCAACTTAATTAAAGATGGGTATCCTGCTTGATAAAATCTGCAAACAAGTACAGACAATTTGAAACAATCTGACCCATATAGAAAAATGACCTTCAGTGAGAGAGACAAAAACAAACCCCATAAAATCATTCTGCTGGTGGGAGAAACAGGAACTGGAAAAACAACCCTGATCAATGTGATGATCAACCACATGTTGGGTGTTCAGAGAAAAGACAAGGTTTGACCCGTTTCAACACAACCCATGTGATGATCATAAACTCCACTCTTTTACAACACTTACCTGGAAGAGACTATCGTGCTATTTCTCCTTTGTCAGAACTCAATTCTCGCTTGAGAAAAGAGAAAGAAATCAGCGATCACTGAAGACCGAAGAGAACAAGAATTTAACAAGGATTTATGAGATGGGAAGTTTGTTTCTGATCAGACAGCAGATCTTTGTGAATCTCATGGTTATTCATTTTTGAAACGATCGAACAGAAACTGAGAGTAAAGGTCAGACTGCTGGAGCTCGAACAGAGAAAATGGCTTCTCTACATGTGTTTGCTGAAGAGCTTTCTTGTCCTGTGTGCTGTGAAATCTTCAAGACTCCTGTTCTTCTGTCATGTAGTCACAGTGTCTGTAAAGAGTGTCTTCATCAGTTCTGGAGGACTAAAGAAACTCAGGAGTGTCCTGTCTGCAGGAGAAGATCCTCAAAACCCGAACATCCACTTAATCTTGCGTTGCAAAACCTGTGTGAATCGTTCCTGAAGGAGAGAAATGAGAGCCGTTCATCAGGATCTGAGGAGATCTGCAGTTTACACAGTGAGAAACTCAAACTCTTCTGTCTGGAGGACAAACAGCCGGTGTGTGTGGAGTGTGTTACTTCTCAACAACACATCAATCACACATTCAGACCCATCAGTGAAGCTGTTCCATCATATACGGTAAAAGGGATTTATTTCTGAGGAATAAAGCTTGTCATAAACATGCACATTTCTCAGTACCATTTTACTTATGTGTTTTATATAAATGAACATATTACAGAAATCTCTGATGTTTTAGATTTTTAATTTAAAATTCTAAGAGGAGCACTATCACTGATGTTCTTACCCAATAAAATTATAGAAAACATTAAAGGAGAGATTGAGAAAACCGGACAACACAACAAGCTAAGACTTGATTCTTTTGACATATTTACAAATTTAATTCCAACAGCTGATTTGGCAATCCCATTGACTAGCACTCACCTTCCACAATTTTAGCAAATTAGCTCTGGCGAACACAGACAATGTGATTAGTATTCATGAGCCCAACATCCTGTTAGCATGACAGGGTAAAGCTTTATAATAACTAATTAAATATAATGCTTAACAGATCATTAGTTAATATATATTCACATAGCTAGAAATATGAGATAATGTGCTTGTTAATGTTTACTAATAAACTTATTAAACATTACCTAATTATCAACAGATAATTATTTCATGTAAAAGAAAATCCTTACAAATGTTATTAAACTTTCAATTCATTCTGAAAATCTACAAATTATTTTGACATGTTATACAATGATTAAAAACTTTTGTTCATGTACAACACTTTTGCTGCTATTGGTGTGTGATACGGTAACGTTAGAGTCAGGTTTGGTGGTATAGGTAGGTTTACGGGTTGGGTACAGGATGCACAGGATTACATTACTATCAGGGAACAAGGTTCAATCTGTTTATTACATTGTTCTGATAAATGAACAAGAGTTTTCTTGAAACATTTATTTGTTTTCTGCTGATGTATGATTCAAGGAATACCCTGTTTAATGATGTACTACTAATATAAGTGTTGAGGCTATAAAAACATGTTTTGCACCCAAATTACAATGTGCGTTATGTCTTTAAGAAGCATTTAGCTAAACTTAACTAACCACCCTTTACATTGTTACAGCAGCTAAAAGTCCAATGCCCATAAACATCCTAAAAGATCAGTAATCATTTATAAACATTTACAGATGATGAATAGTTTCAACTTTAGACTGAGTACTGCAAAAACATGCACAAATCATTAATAAATGATTTATAAAGATGTGTATATCGGGTGAATTCAGGTCATTTGGGGCACATTTTGCCATCGAGATGACTGCTCATAAAGGTAGCCTATGATTAGTAGACATTTATAAACATTTACATTTAAAGTTGAATGACATTTATAGGCATTTCAATTTACAAAAAAATGATCTGTTAAACATAGAAAATGTTTAATAAGTAAACATGAACAAACACATGATCTCATATTTCTAGCTATTTGAATGTATATTAATTAATGATCTGTTAAGTATGCCTTTGCCTTTTGCTGTGAAAAAATGCTCTATCTCACACAGAGACAAGCAGAGTGATACAAATAGTGAACAGCAACCTGTTGATACTAGTGAAATATCAGCACTTCCTGGAAAGCCTCTCAGCCAATCAGATTCGAGGAGTGTAACGAACGAGGTGTAGTGACAACCGAGTTGAGGATCCAAATGCAGGCTTTATTTGTAAACGTGGTCAGACAGGCAGGGTCCAGCACCAGCAAACAATAATATCCCAGGCAAAGACAAAGAGTAATCCGTAAACAGGCAATGGTCAGGGCAGGCAGCAAAACAATCATAAAAACCAGATAAACAGTCCAAGATCCAAAATACACAAAGGCAAGGCAAGGCAAGGCAAGGCAAAACAAGGAAACACGGGCAGGATAACAGAAACTAGGAATTGAACGAGGCGTAGTGACAACCGAGTTGAGGATCCAAATGCAGGCTTTATTTGTAAACGTGGTCAGACAGGCAGGGTCCAGTACCAGCAAACAATAATATCCCAGGCAAAGACAAAGAGTAATCCGTAAACAGGCAATGGTCAGGGCAGGCAGCAAAACAATCATAAAAACCAGATAAACAGTCCAAGATCCAAAATACACAAAGGCAAGGCAAGGCAAGGCAAGGCAAAACAAGGAAACACGGGCAGGATAACAGAAACTAGGAATCATTACAGGCTAAACAATCACCAGCAAAGGGTTCGAGTGTGTGTGCATCTTTTAAAGTCCTTCTAATGTGAGACAGCTGTGAACTGATGATGAGAACTAATGAGTGACAGGTGATGCAATAGATGATGAGTCCGGCAAAGGATTATGGGGAATGTAGTCCAGGGTGAATGGCAAAAGTCAGGGATGGAGTGCCCACTGGTGGAGCTCAAGGGCACTCCAGTTGGTGATCGTGACACGGAGAGGGGATAAAAACTTTAAAGCACAACCACTATAATTCAACAATTAGAAAATTACATTTAATATTTAAGGGGGAAGAGACGAATACAAATAAATATATAATGCTTGCCTTTTCTGGGTGGAGTTATGTGAAAGGGCCTTTATTGTTAGGGATGTTTATGTTTATCATTTGATTATGATTTATAAATATAACATTGTTCACCATTTATACATGTTCATCTATATTTATTTATTTATTTGTTTGTTTGTTTTTTATTGTGTATTGCTTTTTATACAGAACATAAATGATCTCATCAAGAAAAGCATCTTAATTAAAGATGGAAATCCTGCTCGATACCGTCTGCAAACAAGGAGAGACAATTTGAAATTCTCTGAATCTTGTAGAAAAATTACCTTTGGAGAGAGAAATAAAGACAAACGAAAGAAAAGCAAAAAAGACAAAACCATTCTACTGGTGGGAGAAACAGGAACAGGAAAAACAACCCTGATCAACACGATGGTCAACTACATGTTGGGTGTTCAGAGAGAAGACAAGGTTTGGTTTGAGATCACAGATGATCAGAGCGACCGAACATCAGTTCACAGTCAGACCTCCAGCATCACTGTTTATGGGTTTTATCTACAAGAGAGTCTGATCCATTTAACAATCATCGACACTCCAGGATATGGAGACACACGTGGAGTTAAGAAAGATAAAGAGATCGGTGAGAGTTTGCTCAGTTTAAGTAAATCTGAAGAAGAGATTCATGAAATACATGCAGTGTGTCTGGTGATTAATTCAACCCAAAATCGACTCTCTGACAGACAAATATACATATTTGATGCTGTTCAGTCTTTATTTGGAAGAGATATTGCTGACAACATCATCTTGCTCCTCACACACTCAGATGGATTGCGTCCTAAAAATGCCCTGAGGGCTGTTAAAGAGGCTAACATCAAGTGTGCAGTAAATGAGCAGAATCAGCCCGTGTTTTTCCTGTTTAACAATTGTCAGACAGACGCTGCTGATGAAGAAGATGCTGAAGATACTGAAGAACATGAACAGAGGCTGGATCAATCATTTAATCTCAGCTTTGGAGGAATGAAACGATTGTTCGAGATTCTTGACACACTACAACCAAAATCACTGAAGATGACTCGAGATGTGCTGCAGAAACGGAAGCAGCTGGAGGCAAATGTCTCCAATTTACGATCACGAGTTCAAATGATGGAACTAAAGCAGAATGAGCTGAAACAAACTCAAGCAGCTGTGGAGCAGAACAAGCAAGATGTCAAAGCAAACAAGAACTTTGAGTATGAAGTTGAAGTGCCCTACAAAGAATGGGTTGATATTGATCCTTCTAAAGCCAGGGCGGCGATGTGCTGCACCGTCTGTGAGGAGAACTGTCATTATCCAGGATGCTGGTGGACCAGTGATCTCTCGTGGTGCAGTTCGATGAGAAAGAATCACTGTACAGTGTGCACTAATAAATGCCACTACACCAAACACATCAAATCAGCAAAAATATATGAAACAAAAACAAAGAAGAAGACGAGGACATATGAAGATTTAAAGAAGAAATATGAAGACAAAATTGGTGTGTCTTTGGTCAAGATGCTGGAAGAAGAACTGCAAGAATTAGAGAAAGAGAAAATAAAGCTGGTGATGGAAGCTTTCGGCTGTGTGGAAAGTCTGGAGAAGATCGCACTCAAGACTGATTCTGTGTTCACACTTCAGCACATTGATGTTCTGATTGAGAAGCTGAAGGAAATCAACGAGTCTGAAAAGGCCAAAACACTGGAAGATATCAAGAAGAGAGCAGGAGACGTAAAGCATGGAGCATTGAATTACTTAACAGGATTCTTTAAAAATAAACTCAAATAATGCCTCAGCTCAAATCATGATGAAAGTCTGAAAACAGCATCCTGAACATATTTTTGCTTCTTTCAATAGCATGACCTTAATATGATGTAAAGTGTGATTGTAATCGCAGTGTTTTATGAATGTAAAAAATTTTCTATCATCATGCTTGCTTTTATTTCCCTCATTTGTAAGTTGCTTTGAATAACCTGCATCCGCTTAAGTAATTGATGCAAAATACTGCAGCGATTACTATAATTATTTTCCTGCAGTGAAGCAGAAATTGACAGCAGCATAATGTAAACAGCTTCTACTGTGAGATACTGTTTAAAATACTGCAATAATATTGTGAAAGAATATAGTTATTTATCATAAGATGATGTGCATGTAATCATGATCACTATAGGCTGTTTAGAGACAGATTTAGCTGTATTCATTCATATTAATAAGCGCTGCCATCTAGAGGCCATATGAGAAAATATGAAATGCTATCACTTGTATTACACTTAGGCTACATAAATAAATTCATTAAACGAGCAGTTTTGTTTTGGCTCTGTGTTTTATCTGTGTTCATTCAACTGCAAAATACTACAGTAAGAGTCTAATATTATTATTGTTTTTCTTTAAGACACATTTCCTTAAATCTCTAACACATTTCTAAAACACTTAATTGTAAACTTTGACCTGAAATGACTCACAATGAATGACTCAAATGCACACAATAATCCAAAAATAATCATGACATCACAGAATGAATATGGCTTTTCATAACAATTTCTTCAAGTTTAGAATTTTGCAACACAATTCTACTGTCATCACCATGAATGACAGGAAATATGCAGAATATAAAGAATACTGACAAACTGTAAACAATTGCTAAATGTACAGTTTTAATTTTGTGCTTACAGTAGCTGTTGT